GAGCAGAGCGTGGGTGTGACTGTGAGATAAGTGCGTTGCGTGCGATACGGCTCGGTGTGTCAGCGCTTGCGTTGCTTGCCTGCCTGACTTTGACAGACAAGTCAAGAGACCAAACGTTTTTTATTTGAACCTCTCCTAGGCCCTACGCCACCCCCTCTCTTAGACGAGCTTGCGTGCATGGTGCAATCGTGTGTGTGTGTGTGTGTGTGTGTGTGTGTGTGTGTGTGTTGTGGTGTATTGATGAAGGGGCGCAGGCCAGGACTTTTATCTGGTTTACACCTTCCCTTTCAAGCAAAATCTCTCGTGGCACCATTCAATTCTATCTACTTTGATCGGCCAAAAAATAGCCAAAAATTAATGTCAATAGTCAATGCAAAAGTTTACCCCCCTCCCCAAACAAAATGACACAACAGAGACAACAAAGCTTTAATTGAAAGCATGCGTGCCATAGTTTCGTTTCCGGCAATAAGCCAGCATGTTTTATAGAAACCGCATATTTCATTTGCTTCCGGGTCATGTCGAGCTAGCGCAAGAAATTCCCGAGTTATCCCTCCCAAGCTGAAATGTAAACGAACGGATAACCTATGCACACTCCCACATTATTTTGCAAGGGGTTTCAGACAGTTATTACAATGAAAAATAGTTTGTAAGTGATTTAGACAGCACCAGGGGTGAATTTAGGTCACCATGGATGATCCACAAGATGAAAAACCTGAGGTAAGAATTATTACTTATTTTTTATCGATCGCAAACAGAATTTCCTATTACTCATTGCCATTTGGCGTCTGCTATGCTATTGTCTACACGAACTTGGTCCCCATGGATACTGATTTATTATGGGTCTGTGCTTTGATAAACCTAAATTTTCACGTTCATGTGCCATTGTTATTTTGTGTTGACTTTTTTAATTGCAGACTATTCGGAGTAAAAGGAAGAGATCAATGAATCTGCATGAATTTGACCCTTCACTTTACCACAACTATTATTATAGATCTCTATAGAATCTAATCTCTAGAGTCTAGAAACTAGATCTAGAATCTAGATTCTACCTCTACAGTCTAGATCTCTAGATAGATCTAGAATCTAGATCTAGATTATCTAGATCTAGATCTAGATCTAGATCTACATTCTAGATCTACATTCTAGGCCTAGATTCTAGATCTAGAACTAGACAAGGGGTAGAATAGTGAATAGGCTAGGCCTACTACTACTATTTCACTGTCAAGATTCTGAATCAAATCTGTTGCCTATTCAATTTTCGAGATTTAAATCTAGATCTAGATCTAGTCAAGATTAAAGATTTGTTCTATGTCTGATAGCCTGAGAGTGTAATGCAACTCTTTCTGGGACACCTTCTAAAATAAATAAATAAAATCAATTCATATAAATCTAGATCTAGATAGATCTAAGTAATTCTTTTTAAGGGAGAGAGAGAGAGAGAGAGAGAGGGATAGCGAGAGAGGGAGAGAGAGAGAGG